GCATTTGACGAACAGGAAAATAGGTTTAACTGGTCATTTACTTTTATAAATGTTTCTAAACACAAAGGACTAACGTTTTGTAGATTTACTTTATCTATGCATGCATAAATAATGCCGGAATGGGAGAAAAATGTGTTGGTCTCTCGATACAAATTTTCAAACCATCAAATTTGCACATACGAGGGTTGTTCGGAAAGTTTTGAGACAATCTGGTTTTCTCTGTTTCTAATTACAGCTGCGAATATTATTTAATACAAATTATAGCTTAATATGTTATTTATCCGAGTTATGTTTTTAAAACGTTGTAACGTTACTATACGGCATATAATCGTTTCCATAGCAACACCTGTCTACGCATCCTGGCACACGGACTATTTTCTTGTTATAAGTTTTCTTAATGAATAAAAAGAGCCCTTAAAATTGCGCCAAACGTCACGAAAATTTTATGACGTCACTTCCAACTTAAGGACGTCATTTCCGCTAGTTGTTTAAGCCGTTACCGCAGATCATTATAGCAATACGTGCGCGACAAGACAACGACTATGGAAACACCGTCAAAAGAGGAACAGCGTGTTTTTATTAAGTTTTGCGTTAATCTTGGGAAAACGCCAACAGAAACTAAGCAACTTCTAGAACAGGCAAACAACGGACGTACTGTTAGTCGACCATTGGTATTTAGATGGCATAAATAGTTTCGGGATGGCAGAAAGTCAACAAAAGACAAGAAAAGGAGCGGTCGCCCATCCGTCATCGACGATAAACTGACACTTGCAAGAAACGCGCTCAAATCCGAACTACGAGGACTCCGGTTTGAGGACCTAGTTGAACTGCGCTCTAGAGTTATGAGCATTATTGCAACATTTAAATCTGACTGGTATAGAAATGTATTCGCCAAGTGGGTTACGAGGCATGAGAAATGTGTACGTTGTGAAGGAAGATACTTTGAAAAGGAGTAGCAGTTGACTTTTCTACGGTGACGTTAAACTCTGGAAATAACGGCAACGTCGGATAACGTTGTTGCGTGCGCCGGGTCACCGGTAGTGTCTGTGCCTAACGCTTTGTAGCTTTTGTATACATGAAGCTATTGTTATGAAATTTTACACTATAATAGATGAGGTATTAAAGTAATACATAGTAAACTCTTGTTTGATTTTATCTTTTCCAACGCTAAATATTGACCCAGTCTCAGAACTTTCCGAACAACCCTCGTACATGAGACAATATAGAGATAAATCTGCGGTGCAGGGTCTGAAGAAATATATGACTAGATACCGGATCCTGTTCCTTACAAGCAAAGCAAAAAAACACCTTTTAGAAACTAAACTACTTGTAGTATGGACCTGAATAAAAATCACCTACCTCTCTTCCCATAAATAATCCTCCATCTTGAAAATTCTATACTGTAACCGGAAAACGAGATACTGTAACACGTTCCCTACAGTGATATTTATCTGAATGGGCCCACCTATGAAAATCAATGCACATAGCTAGTGATGACTTTAAAATACATGAATGGTTATAATTGATATAACGAATTAGTATTCGGATATTTCTATATCTTATATTTACTAAATCAAAAATAATACCAATGGATCGTTACTTAATATTGTTAAGTGTGGTGCGCTTTGTTGCAGTAGGTGTGTATATATTTTTATCTTGTACATTGTATATATACATGTATATTTATAACGGAAAAAATATTTGACTGACGATATGCACGACAAGCATTGAAAGCGCTACAGAAATTAATGAAATTATAGAGTTATTATTTTATTTATTACGTGGTAATGCATGTATATTTATAAAGTGTAAATATATTTATAACGTAACTATCTTAAAAATAATATGACAACTTCATGATTTGTCACGAGGCCTTAACTTATGAACTTAAATGTCTTTATAGAAAATTGTTTGTTTTTTTTTTGTGTGTGTTTTCGGCGAGGGGGTTGTTGTTGTTGTTGTTATATGTTGGTTTTTTCTGTTCAATCAAATATGATATTTTGCTAGAATATATGCTGTGCTGCTCATGGAAATTTTTTAATGTGTAATTGCATTCTCTTAAATAAACACACACACACAAAATAAAGGAATACATCTTTACATATATTCTATCGATTACTTTAATTACGTGTGATATTTCACATTTGACTTAAAAACTAAGAATTTTGCAATATTAACCATCAAGTCAGTTAATAAATAGAAAATCAATATCGTTTACCACAGCGCAAATAGAGTTTTGCAGCTTACTCTGACACGGACAGTGGACATCTGACGAACAGATGTTGCGGGGAATTTCTCAAAATGGTTGTACACTGAAAAGAATCAAAATTCAGAACATCGGACTTTCTATATATACTGGCCGGACAATCAGTTTACCAGACAAAACTGTCCCTGCCGAATAGTGCTTTATTTTTTGATTCAATTAAAAAATCATACAGTCTGAATCGTACACACACATTCTATTTCAAAGTAAATAACAACAAAACAACTCTTAGGTAAATATTGTTGATACAGTTCATGCCCTTTTGTTTACTAGTTATTTCATGACCTGGTCATGCGGGGGAATTATCTGTTCTGCGCAGGCCCGAATATGGAGGCCCTTAATGGGTTATTTTATATGGGTGTACATTTTATTCTTCTCAACGTTACCTTAGGAGACAATCGTAACATATTTTAATGATAAACAGTAATGTTAAATTTACTATTTAGTCCTAACAGTATCTCATTGTTGTCTTTTACAAAGAAAAGCAAATTTAAAAAACATATAAGGAAATGAGTTACGCCCATGGGAGGAAACTCTACATGAAATGTAAATAAAAAAGATTTTATGGCTTTTGCAACATGCTACATGATGACCAAAAGGAAACTGTATGACAAAGAACAGAATTCCATTTTAATATCAAAATGTTTCATACATTTAAGGGTCATGAAGAATCATTATGTTAATTGAGTTAATAGTGTTCAATTGCACCCCTATATTGGCCTCTTCGTAACAAGCATGGCTACCATATCTATTTTAGTGACATACTGGGTTTGTCCAGTAACTTAACCTTGCCATTCAATAGTCGTAGTTTCCTTTCTGATTATCTAAAGATAAATTTCAATTCACGACTTTAAAAAAATTAAACAAAATGTCTGGTAAATTGAGTTGTCTACACGATTTTTTCCTCTTATAATGTCCTACTTTAAAGACACATTTCTACGGTCAAATGTTTAATTTCATGTGTTTACATGTATTAAGAACCCAAATTATTTGGGTTAAATTCCCTTCTTTTTTATTATTTTAAATAAAAGTTACAGCGAAAAACATATTTTGTCCGGTTATATGTAGAATCCAAGTACAGTATTATTATTTTGAGAAAACCCCTGAAAATTATCAGTAGTCCATCGTCCGCTGTCCGCATCGGAGTAAGCTGCAAAAGTTTAATAGGAAGTGGCATGCAGTTTTTATTTGGTTTGATATTTAGTAAAGAATGTATGAAAAATGTCATTTGTATGCGCATCTTATTACAGAAATTTATTATTAGACTTGGGTTTTTGGAAAATCGACGTGGAAGTGCCTTACGTGTTTTTGTGTGTTTATTTATCCTACATTATTTATAATCATGGCACTTTGAACCCAGCAAAAATTATTTTTACCAATATTATCTTTGGTAAGTTAGTGTATTTACAAATATCGGTTACATTAACAAACAAGGTTTTACGCACGCGATAAATGACTGCGAAGGGATGGTCAGCTGTATCCGCTGAGCCGAATAAAATGCGTCTGTTTAGATCTGTGCAGTTGTGAAAATAGAAATTAAAGGGGATTTTTTTTCACAGCGAACTTATTTTTTCTGGTTTCTTATGGTAAACAAATAGATGAAAAAGTCAGATGTTTCATGGCAATGGAATGTAATAGCTCTTACACCAATGTAAAACAATCCTTCTTTAGATGAGACAACATATTTACGCATAATTCAATTTTAGCCTTGTTACACGATATTAAATCTCGGTAAACTACAGACAGTTGTAGAAACTGTAAATAAAAAAATGTTTTGCAATTTAAAACAGGTATTGAAGTGTAAAGCTGATGTACATGAATGTTTTTTTATATTGACGACTCGCAAAATAAATTATGTCATTGCGCAATAAATCATGCGTTTTATAAAAAGTCATATAAGCAGCCGAATTATATAGTGTATAAGGAATGTAAAACATTGTGCTTGTGTAATTGCTGCGAATCGGAGAAACACATATGACTTTAGACAGGTGGGGCGTTTCAACTTCAATAATTCCTGATTTTATCATCGGGGATTCACGATTTAACTTCGTGAATTCACGTTTTCAACATACGGAATTGGCGAATTTTACAATTTCACGATTTCAACTTCATGAATTCACGTTCACGGATTCACAATGTGTATAATGTCACTTTCAGTACATGTGTATCTAGTTCGATGTTAAATTTAAACCATCTAACTTTCGACTTTCGAGGTAGTCACAATGATAATAAGATACATGTAATACAAATCACAATACATTTCGTAATATCAAACTTCCAAATTTAGATCTCATCCTACTTTTCTACATTTAAAGATTCAGAATTACCATTGTGTAAATATCAAGAATCAACAACAAAAAACTCCTTAAATTGACAAGATTTAATCTAAGATTTCATATAAACTTTTTTTTTATCTTGTTTATCATTTCTTTTCTCAGGCAAATGATTCGTTACAAAACGTGACAAAATGCATGCAATAAATAATACAAAATACGAACCACCTATTATTGTAAACAAATGCAAATATTTCAAAAATGTTTGTAAATTCAAAAGACACTATTAGATTTGGCCGAGCAAATTGAAACATGACACTCTCTTTATATATTCATTATCGGTTTCTCAAGGTACTTTGAACTCTATTAATATTTCAAAGTCGACTTATTTTATGATGAAACATTTCCAAAATTTCTATCTTAACACATGACACGTGAATCATTAGTCATCAGACGTGACACATTATATATAAGGATCGTTTATATTTCTTGTGTGTTTCATACAACAAAATAGTATTAAAGAAATTTGGATCATATCAGCAAAAAAGAAGATTAATTATCATGAAGTTCTGTCAGAATATTTTCCTTTTGTGTACGCTTTTGTCATGTTTCCTGCCGTATTTTGTCGAAGGTTGGTAAATATTTACAATGACGAATCTAATTATTTGTCTTATCAATTTGCCATTTTACTTTAGTAAAGTTAATTAAAAGACAGTGTTCATACAAAAATAATGAAATAGATTAGTTGAGCATTATCTATAAAAAAAAATAATACATGAAATACTCGTATTTCGACTATGAGTCAAGATTAAACATGGGTAAATTAAAGCTTATTAGAAACAGTGTAAATAATTAAATAATAAATGACACTAAACACTTTAAAGACTTAAAATTTCAATATCTACTTGTAGTGAAATTACAATTATGTGTCATTGCCGGTTTATTTGTATTAATTCTGAGAAATGGCTACGATAATTATTGTAAACAAGTTTTTTTTCACAGTCACTTAATCTGTTTAAATGCAAAACAAAAAGTTTGAATATAGTCACATGTTTTTTTGTGGACATATCAAAAGAAAGGTCTAATTTTGTGTTTGTGCCTTGCATGCGTACGTGCGTGTGCTTGTGTGTGGTAGTTTACTTGCCATGACTCATGAAATTTATATTTTTCAGGATTACATCGACATTATAATCACCACGAATGCTTGCCTGTCAACGCGTATCTGTTCTTGGATAATAGCATAGGTGATGATGTTGATGTGCAAAAAAATAATATTTATAAGATCATGAACAATACTCATGATGGTAGTAACATTCAAGTAGACACGTTAAACCATACGTCAATAATAACTCTAACAGAAGGTGTCAAAAACGAAAAGAACATGTTAAAATGGCCCAAGATCATCCACTTTTTTCCCAAAGGGACGACGGGTGTAATTTCAGCAACGAGTTTGATCAATTCTGTATCAGTCTATCAAAGTGGACACACAAATGCAGCAATAGAGTTGTTTCTTGTGGTAAATGATAAAACGAGAGTGGATGATGAAGAAAGACTAATTGAAGGACTAAAGAGTATGAAAACATTTATTGTTTATTATGGGAAGAAAAGTCCGTCTACATTTTGGCATTGCCTTGCCACAGATAAAACCCACTTCCTAAACCTCAAGTTCAACGATAATCTTGAAGGTCACATACAGTCGTTTCTACGCTTATCTTGTCAAGGTAATCAATGTACTTTCTTTATTCACAGAGCTGTAATCTTATCTAAATTGCATACTTGTTTATTTCTTTAATTCGATATATCAAATAAAATGGACTTATTAATTAGCACACCTTTTAGGACTGCCGAATGTCCGTTGCCCGTCGCCTGCCGTCCGTCGTCCTCGTGAACACTTAAGTGGATACATTTCTTCCTAAATTGTCACAATATTTAAGAAATTACACATAATTACTGGGACAAGTTTGAATATGCGTCATCTCGGATGAAAAACTAGGTCACATGATCGACAAAAAAAGTAGAAATGTCTTGCTGACACTCTACAGGCTATTTTTAGTCCAAATATTCTTTTAATTGTCTCTACTCGAATATGGGTCATCCGGTGTCAAAAAGTAGGTCACGCTGCCTAAATATGGAAAATCTTGTTAACTCTGAAGAGGTAAAATTTTCATCCTAAATATCCTGGAAATTTGCCAAAAAATGTTCTGATGATTTCTGGCTCAATTTCAAAGTCTGAAGTCAAAAACAAGCTACATAACCCAAATTTGGAAAACCCTGTTTTCACTTTAGATGTAGTATTTTCAACTCAAAGAATAGTTGTTTTGATGATTTCTAGCTCAGTTAAAAATGGGTGATCTGGTGTCAAAAACTAGTTAACACAGCCGAACAAGAAAAAAAACTTGTTAACATTTTCAGTCTACATATCCTGAAAGGTTGCTTCTACGAATTCTACCACAACTTGGAATATGGGTCATCTGGGGTCACAGAACCCAAATTATAGACAAACCTTGTTAACTTTCTAAATGATATATTTTCAGCACAAATATATAAGAAATTTGTCAGAAAGGTTGTTTTGATTATTTCTAGCTCAAGGTCCAATAAGAGTCATCTGGGATTAAAAAACTAGTTCACATAGTCCATATATGGAAAAACTCTAGACTTTGTGATTTCATCTGTCTGGAATAAACACAACGCCGTCAGAGCTTTTCACCCCAAATGTCCTTTAAATATGTCAGAACAGTTGATTTGATGATTTCTAGCTCACATTCAAATATGTGTCATGAATTTAGGGGAAAACTGGATCACACAGCCAAAATATGTATAAACCTTGTTTACATTAATTAGCATTATTTCAGATACAGATATGAACTTTGTGATATCAGTTTAAGATTAAGGCATCATATTTGCTTTTCATTCATAGTGAACAATATTACGTTTTCCTTGTCATCAAGAACCTTTATAATCAGGTGAGCGATATAGGGAAATTATGACCTCTTGTTTGGCATGATATATAACAATTATATACTTCTAACAATCATAGTATGTTAACGAATTCGTGCTTCCCTTTTCTTACAGTTTCCTCTAATTCGTAGATATAACTACCTATTCTTATATCTAACAGACTACTTGTATATAACTACCTGCTCTTATATCTAACAGACTATATAACTACCTATTCTTATATCTAACAGACTCATACCTGAAGTGCACCAACGACATGTACTGGACCAGACATGGGTGTAAAACATGTACATACATCTGCTCTAGGGAGTCGTCAGAAGATCCGCAATTTTGTCGGGAATCTTGTCCATGTAAGTTTCATTATGTTCATAACTTAAAAGACCCATTATGCCTCAGAAATTCTTTTATTTTCATTTGTCAAAAACCTTTTTTTATTTCTAGTGTACTTTTACATTTAGTTTCCAAAAAGATACTCATTGGCCAATTACCTGACCGGTTGCTTTCTGGCAATAAGTCTAGTTGCGGGGATTTAGTACTTTGTATGGAAGTCAAACTACTACTTTGTTAACATTTTGCTATTTTTTATGACAAATAAGTTCACAATTACTGCTGCTTTCTTCAGTAAACACGTATCTTACATGCTCTACAATCATTATTTAAATGTTGTTAAACTCAGGTTTAAGGCATAATGGGCCTTTATATATCATTAACCATATATCAATTGTCATCTGAAAATAGTCTATTTATCTTCCCTTACATTATATCATAGTGTTAAAACAAAGCAGATATCAACTTTAAAATCATCTGTACTAAGTTACTTTTATGAAGTTTTGAAATTGCCTGTAGCATGATATTAGATTACATAGAGTATAATAGCTAGTAGCTTCGAATAAGAAAACTAGGAAAACAATGGGAGCATTTAAAAAAACAGAGAAGGCTAAAACAAAAATACAAAAACATCCATGAAAATCCAGCTTTACAATAAATAACTTACATAATTGATTGTAGTTATAACGTTTCAACCTAGTAACAAAGCAACACTTGCTTAAGTTTTTCTTTGCATGAGACTGAATTTTTATATTATTTACCAATCATAGTATTGATTTGAAACAAAAGTTTATGAAAAATTTTGTTAAAATTGTATGTCATTGAATATAAAATTTCATAACTTGTTTATGTGTTTAAACTGAATTATAGAGCTACAACATTGTAAAATATTCCTTGGACAACCCAAATCACATTTTATATCACCATTTCATGGAAACAGAGACTCTTATGAAAAGTTAATGTAAAAATATGTGATGATTTATGTTACTTTACCTTCGGCTTCAAAGGTCTTGATAACTGAAAGGAAAGAATTTTGCGAACTTCAAGCTTAAATGGTGGAAGACCTCGGGTGTTTATTTGCTCACCTGAGGTAGCTCAGGGTGAGCTTTTAGGATCGTTGAATGTCCGTCGTCCGTCCACACTTGTTCGTTAACACTCTAGCGGTCACATTTTCCCTGAATCATCATCGAACTTTGTCAGGATGCTTATCTAGGTAATAGCTCGAATGAGTTCGAACATGGGTTATCTCGGATGAAAAATTAGGTCACAGGAGCTAAAAATAGAAAAACCTTGTTAACACTCTAGCGGCTCAATCATCATCAAACTTTGTCAAGATGCTTGTCTAGGTTATAGCTCGGATGAATTAGAACATGGGTCATCTTGGATGAAAAACTAGGTCACAGGAGCTAAAAATAGAAAAACCTTGTTAACGCTCTAGTGATCACATTTTTGACTCAATCATACTCAAACTTGGTCAGAATGCTTGCCTAGGTAATTGCTTGGATGAGTTCGAACATGGGTCATCTCGGATGAAAAACTAGGTCACAGGAGCTAAAAATAGAAAAACCTTGTTAACACTCTAGCGGCTCAATCATCATCAAACTTTGTCAAGATGCTTGTCTAGGTTATAGCTCGGATGAATTAGAACATGGGCCATCTCGGATGAAAAACTAGGTCACAGGAGCTAAAAATAGAAAAACCTTGTTAACGCTCTAGTGATCACATTTTTGACTCAATCATCATCAAACTTGGTCAGGATGCTTGTCTAGGTAATTGCTTGGATGAGTTCGAACATGGGTCATCTCGAATGAAAAACTAGGTCACAGGAGCTAAAAATTGAAAAAACCCTTGTTAACACTGTATTGGTTACATATTTGAGTCAATTGTCATCAAATTTTGTCAGGATGCTTGTCTAGGTCATTGTTCAGATGAGTTCGAACATGGGTCATCTCGGATGAAAATCTAGGTCACATGAGCTTAAAAAAGAAAAACCTTGTTAACACTCTAGTGGCTACTGTTTTGATCCAAATATCTTGGAAATAAGTCTGAAAGTTTATTTTGATAATTTCTATGTCAAGTTTGAATATGGGTCACCTTGGGTCAAAAACTAGGTTACACACAAATATGAAAAACCTTGTTAACGCTCTAGTGGTTAAATTTGTGACTCATTTATCATCAAACTTGGTTAGGATGCGTGTCTAGGTAATTGCTAGGATGAGTTTGAACATGAGTCATTTCGGATGAAAAACTAGGTCATAGAAGCTAAAAACAGAAGAATCTTGTTAACACTCTAGTGGCTACTGTTTTCATCCAAATATCCTGGAAATTGGTCTGAAAGTTTTTTTTGATCTAGGTCAAGTTTGAATATGGGTCACCTGGGGTCAAAAACTAGGTCACACTGCTCAAAAATGGATAATTCTTGTTAACACTCAAGCGGTCATATTTTTTACCCACCTGTCATGAAACTTGGTCAGAATGCTTGTCTAGGTAATTGTTCGGATGAGATCGATTTGTCAGGTGAGCGATATAAGGCCATCTTGGCCTTCTTGTTATTTTAGGCACAAAGGGACACCTTAGTTTTAACAACGACGTTCCGTAAGCTAGTGGAGAACTTATTTACAGGAAATTATCCAAAGTCCAAGCGGGTTTCGAACCCAAAGTTGTAAGGAAGCATGTGGTTTTGTGTCACTGACCATAACAAATCGGCCATTAACGCAAACAAACCATGTTCGCGGACAGCAATCTTCACATTTCTCAGTTTTGGATAGGATGATTCAAGCTTAGTAGAAAGGGGGCATAATTCTGATTTTGCTAAGAAGAATTACCTGTCCTTGATAGTAGAATGTCTCATAGAACGATCTCATCTGAATTAACTACCAAAGCAGGTCTTGGCCCATTCAAAATGACCATATAAGCTGAAATACCAAAAAGTTAGTTCTTTGGTAGCAATTAGCTCACACAAGCCAATGAAGCCAAAGTTATTTCCTAAGAATTGCTAGGAAAACAAAGGATATGAAATTTTAGAAAATCGAAATATTCTTCTCAATTATTAAATGATATTTTTAATATGTTTTATGAGATACTTAACGTTTACTATGCATACTTCAATTATTTAGATATGAATGTGTCATCATTTTCTTAAAACATATCACAGGATCTAATTTGACAATGTTATTATATTTCGTGATCCATAATTATTCCAGAATGAAAGAGTTTGTATTGGCACAGTATTTTACTGCATTACCTGTAAAAACAAATGTTTGTATTTGTATTAGAGCTTTTTCTAGATTTACATACAATGCCATATTTTGTCATTTAGTACATTTAACTGTCGTTTTTGAAATATGCACAGAAATTATATATAGTTTTACATTTGGCCTTCATCATGATCTTGACCTTCATCGTTTACCACACAAATGTATAAATTGTAAAAAGGACAAAATAACATTTTGAAATCAGCTTCGTAAAACTTTCAAAAGTTGTAACCTTACTTAATTGCCTTACCTGTTACACATATCTTTGCTATAGAAATATTTTTACCATCGTCCAGGAAATGGTTATTTGTCTTCATGTAAGCTATATAACTAATGAAAAACATGCCTAGATATATTGAAGTCAGTGTTAACATGACATTAATTTAAATGATTTTTCTATTATATTTAATAAAAAATGGAAGATTCAAATTTGGTGGGACAGACTATATAGTTATGCTTCCTAGGACATTTCTGCAGTCATTTTATCAAAATAATACAGATCAGACAAAAAATAATCAGATAAAAAATAATCAAGGTTGTTTGTTAAATGAGGCATGATGTCTGACAAATTATACTTTGTAGCCCGGGGTTCTATGATATCACGGTACTTAACATTCATAGGAAAATATTCAAATATGAATGAGATGTTCTTATTTGTTCTATTTAATAAGTGATCCTTTTCCAAGACTGTCTGTCAAATTTATATTTCTGAAGATCCAATTTAAATGTCATTTTTAGTTCGACTGTACAAAGTATATGGAGAGCTGTCCTACTCGCCCCGGCGTCGGCGTCCGGATTTCAGAGTAGTAAAATATTTTTCACTATAACTTTTTTTCATTTTTTTAAGGTATCAACTTCATACTTCAAATATATGTTCCTTATCATGAACCACATCTTATGTGACAAAGTTTATAACTCTAGCACCAATTTTTTTTAGATTTTAGAATTTTCCTTAAAAAAATATTATTTTTTACTGTAACTTCTGTATTTCTTAAGGGATCAATTTTATACTTCAAATATAATTATGTTCTTTATCATTAACGACATCTTATGTGACAAGGTCCATAACCCTAGCACCAATATTACAAGATTTATCTCCCCTTGAACTTAAAAAATATCATTTTTACTATAACATTTTCATTTCTTTAGGTATCAACTTCAAATAATGTTCCTTATCATCAACCACATCTTATGTGACAAGGTTTATAACTCTAGCACCAATATCTTCAGATTTTTCTCCCCTTGAACTTAGAATTTTCCTTAAAAGATATCATTTTTACTATAATGTTTTCATTTCTTAAGGTATCAACTTCAAACTTCAAATATATGTTGTTTACCATCAACCACATCTTATGTGACAAGGTTCATTACACTAGCACCAATATTTTCAGATTTATCTCCCCTTGAACTTAGAATTTTCTTTTAAAAATATTATTTTTTACTGTTATTTCTTTATTTATATTTCTTAAGGGATCAACTTTATACTTCAAATATATTTATGTTCTTTATCATTAACAACATCTTATGTGACAAGGTTCATAACTCTAGCACCAATGTTGCAAGATTTATCTCCCCATTAACTTAGATTTTTTTATTTGTCAATGAAAAATGTTATTTTTTACTCTAACTTCTTTAGTTTTAAAGGTATCTTCCTAAAACTTCAAATACGTATTCCTTATCATCGACCAGATCTTATGTGACAAGTTTCTTGAAGCAATATTTTTCTAGATTTATCTCCCTTTTGAAATTTCTTTAAGAAATTTTATATTTTTTTTACTTTTTAAGGTATCTTTTTCAAACTTCAAATATATATTTCTTATCCTTATCATTACACACATGTTATGTGACAAGGTCCATAACTCTATTGTGACTATTTCCAAAATTATTCCCCCTTGAACTTGGAATTCATGTAAACAACTATAACTTCTTGACTCTTGACATAAGAAGAAATATATTTATATCATAATTGATTTTTCTTTCATAGTTTTGTCTTCCTTACTGCGTCAAGTATTTAATTAGTCGAGCTTCGTTGTCTCCTGTGACAGCTCTTGTTTAAACTATTTTCAATGTCTGCCATTTTGAGTAATTTCAGAGGAGGTTGTTATGGTATCACGATAATCCCAAAAAATGCAAGTATGGAAGATGGGTCAAAATTTTCAAGTTAAGTTGTAAAAAAACTTCCAACAGTTGACTTGCTATAAAATTCAAACTATATGAGCAGACGATATGTCAGTATATGTGATTGTAACATATTTTAATAGACTGTGTAAAAGCAATTAAGGAAAATAGTATATATAATCTTTTATTCCACTTTTCAGTGACTAATATAACAATAAATTTACACATTTACATGAGATCATAACATAATAACATAAGAATATTGATTATATACACGAAAAACATATCATACACAATGTCACACATTAAATATAGACTACATTATACAGAATGATAACAGCATTCATACACAATGTTAACTTATTAATAAGCACATGATATATTGTCAATGTTCGACATAATGGTATTTACTGAATATTTTTAATGCACTTTTACTAAATATTTTCCCGATTACATTTATAACTTTTCGAAAACATGAAATATAAAAGTCATGTATAGAATGGATTTATTATATTACATTTAACCTTAGAAGTCTAAGATAAGCAATGTTATTACATGTAGAATGTTCTAGAGATTACTTTTTATGTCGTGAACGTATTGACAACATAGGTTGGTAAAGTCTTTTTGGAGTTCTGGATTAATACCAAAGACAGCCAATAAATTAAGATAAAAGAGTCCTTGCAAGAATGCTTCCGAGTTAATTCTAAGAAAATAACTGCAAACTTCAGAGCTAAATTTCTGATCAATTGAATGTGTAAAGCGTGTCCGTTCACGTGTATATATATCACATTCAGCTCAGGAATGTCTGATTATTTCACTAGTTTCTTGTAGACATTTTGTACAGGAATACCTTGTAGAAAACTGTCGATATATAAGTATTTCCGTTGCACTTAAAGCATGTTTAATCTCACTGTTTGTATTTGAAAACAGCCATAAATGTAAAGGCGTTACTGATTGATGAACTGCTATAAATCTGTCAAAATCTCTGTCAATCTTAATTGTATGTTTGTCAATCTTAATTGTATGTTGCCACATGTTGTTTTGTGTATGTGTAATTGCTTTTATAATAGTATTTTTCCATGAGTACTAGCATGGAAAATGTGTATGTTTCATGTAGTCAGAAATGAAATGGAATAATCCGTATTTGTACAATAGTCTGCATTATTTCTGGAACAAAGCCGCGTTGATTACAATAGCCTTTCATAACAAATAAGTTTAGTCTGTAATTAAATAGTTTTCTTGACAGATAGTGTGTTGGTATAGTACACAGTTTTTGTAAGAAAGTTAGCTTTCTTTGGTCTATGTCTGCTTCAATAATAAACCATCCCAGTGTGCTCAGAGCCATGTCCGTTCTAGTTGACTGCGGGAGATGTTGTAATTGTTTCGCTGCCAATTGTTGGATCTTTACAATGTCATTATTTGAAATGTTATGCCATAGTTTAGCCCCATAGATAAAAGTTTAAAAAAAAATGATACTTTTTTTACAAATGATCTTAGGGTCAGTGGATTTATATCACCAACATTGTTTTCTAGGGATAATATTGAAAAAAAATGACAATTGTCCTTTATGTATACGTTGATCGATTGTATCTGTTACACTTAATGTCTTATTGAGTTTAATTCCAACATGTACAGCGGTATCATATGATGATATTTCAAAATGACCAAAGTTTGCTTGAAATATATTGTCAGAAATTTTCCCGCCAAACTTCAATACGCAACATTTGCTATAGTTGAATTCATATCCCCATGTATTTGCGTATGTGTAAACACTAGCAAGCTGATTCTCTAGTGATGTTTACGACGGACTTAACAGTGTCAAATCATCGGCAAGTGTTGGATTGCCACATGCAATATTACCGGTTATAAAACCATGTTTGCAACTTTCAAGATTTTTTTAAAGGTTCATCAATAAAGATTAGGTAGCTCCAAATAGACATTATCCCATCCTGTCAAATGCCCCGCAAAACTGGGAATATATCTGACGTAGCGCCGTTAACAGTGACGCAGCCAACTGTTAATTATGAATCGCAGAAATTTACCTTTGATTCCTAAATTATGCATTTTCATGATAATGGCACTGTGTCTCACATTGTCAAATGCACCTACAGTATCTAGGAAAGCGGCATACACACTAGAGTAACTATCGGTGTATGATAGTACAGCTTCTTGTAAATTGAAAGTTGCAGTTACAGGTCCTAAATGTTTTTGATACACAATTTGTTGTGTGCTCGGAAAGTTTAGCTGCTTTGAGGCTGTCCATGTTGTAAGGCGATGATGAAGGACTCGTTCAAATAGTTGATAAATAACTGGCAGAAGGGTTATTGGTCAGCAGGTTCTCGAGTAAGATGGTCTCCATGAGAGATCTCATGCATCAACTGGATTAGATCGTTTACCTTTTCTGCGTTTACTCCGAAAGAGCCTCATATCACATTCAGCAGTTTCATTTAGGTCATCATAGTATTTTTTATTAACTTCTGAAATAGTTTTTTTCTGAGCATTTATGAATATGCGTTTTGCCGCTTTGTAATTTGTAAAAAAACACATTATCTCTTCCTCTTGGCAGATGCAAATGAAGTTAGTAGGCCAGTTTTAAAAATATATGCATCGTCGTGTGTTGCTTTTACTAGCAGTCACAGAAAATGTAAATACCGTGATATCATAGAACCCTAATATCGTAGATAAAAGAAGAGAAACCGTTAAAAATATCTATAATTTTTTATTATCCTTTGTTATTTTTTCAGATTTTCGCGAAACAAAGGACGAAATCAAGTGCAACGGAAGTTCAATGGTGAAGTCTTACAATAGTGAGGTCTATTTGCTGTTGTTGTTGGTAGTATTTGTTATATATTAAAATGTAAGCAGTTTAGAAGATGACATTGTACACAGTATCCAATTTCAAAACGTTTTAATTATGTGGCGGAATTGGAGATCTGAAGTCTTTGTTTTGTTTATCAATTTGTTTTACCAAAGAATAATCCGTTCACAAAATGTGCTGTTATTATTCTTAAAAGTGGGAACAACGATTTTGTTGTGACCTTTAATAATTTCTCGTTGACAATTAAGTGATTGATTATTGTAATCAAGCAGAATGAAGATTTGCTAGATTTTTCAAGATTTATTTTCACTCAGAAACATTTGCAATACATACATATTATATTTTATTTTCAATTGTTTCGTATCATTTCGTATCATATCATTATTTCTTGGTAAATAAATATCTCTTTTGAATAATATTAAGGTTAATGATGAAAAATTATAGTTTGAAATTTATGGTTAATTCTGAAACGAGTGTATAATTGATTTGAAGGGGAAAAAACGATATTCATCAATATGAACTGCGTCGTATCTATATAACTTCATAAAAAATTCTGGCCCGCTTTGAGTTGCAAGTTCGCTATATTTTTTTGTTTTACAAAATAGTTAAGCTAGCAAAATACCAAATGAAGCGGTAAATTGTGGAGCGTGTTAATACATATAGATCTATCTGGTTTTCAGTCATTTCCAACAAAAAGAGTAATAAATAAAAGTATGCCCTTTTCATTCAAAGATGGCGGCGTTTGCATACGACGCAGTTCTGATTCACAGCCCTGATTGTTTTTTGTTTATTTTTCACTACTTTGTACGTAGATATCTTTTAACTTTTGAAATGTTGTTTTTATCAACCATTGACTACTGCAATCAAAATCGCCAAGTTTCCAAGTTTATTTGAATACCTCCGTAAAGGGGTCTGTACATAGCTAATTGAATAACCACCTGTCTCTTACAATAAAATTTCAATTATAACTGAATAATCGTTATTAAACCATATTTAAATGTTCAAGAAGATTTTTGTCTTTTCTTATTTTTGGTTAAAAAGCTTTAGAGTTTTAGCTTAAAGTGACATTATGTTCATAATATTCGTAGATTGTATGTGTAAATTACATTCCTTGTTCACTTGAGAGTGATTGAATTTTAAACACTTTTTAAAAAATTTCATAAAAATTACTATGAATCTTGAGGCATGCTGCTTTAAGTTTAGAGAATAATAGCCTGTGATATGGATGTACATATGAATCTATATTTATTGTATTTTAATCACCTCTTTTTTATTTTTCTACTTTTTCATTAAAAAAACTTTAAACTTCAAAAACATATCTGATTAGTGCATTGTTATGTTCGAATGGTTGTCTGTATAACCTTTTATCTGTTTTTAATAAATCATTATCAAGAAAAAAGAACTTGTGTTGTTTTTTCATAATGGAATCTACATAGCTACTTTGTCCAATTTAATTCAGGTCTGTGTTTGAAACTTATATCTACTTGAAATCGTTTGAAAATTGAATAAGCTGAAACTTTCATTCTTTTCCAATTCTCATTCTATTTCAAATGGATATTCCTCCTCAGTGCTGTCACCACATCACCACATGTAGCCCCCAAGATATTAGATGGTATCTCTTTACGAAGCTCAAGAAATTGGAATACCGCATATTAAGCCATTTGTCCCAACATGTCATTGCCCCTTGTTTGATTGAAAAACTGACTATATGACAAACCTTGTTTGATACATAACTTAAGTGAAGGAACAATGACCATGTCTGCTCGAGTCTTTCAATGCACGACTTAATCCTATCAATCATTCGTTGTTTTATCGTATATTTCTTTTAGTCTAATTTTATAAATTGTTGCAGATACGAGTAATCATTCTTTAACTTACGGACATGCTTCATATATTTTCTCCGTCATTTCTGGCCAAATAAATGAATGACAACATAAACTTAGTTTGGTTTATTCAAAAAAGAGAGAAATAAAGAATCCCTAAAGAAAGCTCAACAAGACAAAATTGAAAATGTTGATTGAGCCTGTTTATGGACGGTACTGGAAAGTGCAAGTTAGCGTCCACGCCCCCTAGCACCGGCTTAAGCAGAATTCAACATTTAATCATGGTAATGGTGAAATTTTGAATTTAGAAACATCCGCGGCGGTTATCAGTCATACAAACGGACAATACGCTGATTCAAAAGTAGAATCCCTACCTTCCGTTAGCCAGATAGACTGTTTCCTTCCATGAAAGAGCTTATAACCCCATAATATATGGTGAGCGTTACAACAGTACCATCAATGAACAGGATCAGTCAAACCAAGCCTGCAACATTTTCAATCTTGCCGTTTTGGACTCCCATTTTATTTTATTCCTATTTTAACTAAACTTGATGAGACACTTGTACTGTTGTGTTTAAAATTATAAATTAATCTTTAATACATATTTCAATTAAGTTTGTTAAACTTTTTACGCAAACATGTTACGTATATATGATAAGTTAATATTTCTGTCGACAATAAATTACATAAATGAGTCGCAAGAAGAGGTAAATCAAAATCTATTTAAGATGTAAAACCCCTCATAAATATTTTTCATATTAGCAGTTAAATCAAAAATAAACATAATATTGAATGAATAAGATGCTTCATAAGATGAAACGCTAAAATAATTATTTAAAAAAGGACAATGATGTGCATACAGATAACATTTGACGACGAGTATGGTGGTCACCTTCAGAAAAGAAATGCATGATTAAAGCTGCATGCCTCCAGATGAGCCAAAATATTTCTAGAAAGTCAAACTTGAGAAAATTTTATTAAGAATCCAAGAAAAGTAGACACATTCAAGATTAAATCAATTACTTATATATTATTTCCGATTAATGACTTATTTTTCATTATTTATCACCATATTTCTATTATGTAACAAACGAAGTTAGGGTTAGTTTTTGCATACGTTGACCTCTTTTTATAAGCGTCGTTTGCTATCTATTTGTTCACTTTCAGTGGACGGCAGTTTGCACTTAACAGTACCGTCCATGAACAGACTCAATCAAACCGGGCCTGCAGCATTTTCAATTTTGCCGTTTTGGGCTTTCTTTAGGGATTCTTATTTCACTCTATTTTTTCACAATATTTTACTTTTAAATACATTTTCAAAATGTTCTTGAAAATTAGCATGAATCTAGAGGCAAGCTGCTTAAACGATTTCAATCTTTTGTTTCATAAAATTTTAAAACTTTATCATGTATAAAAAGTACATTTGTATCTTCAATTAAGATTGAAAGATGTCAAATTTCATTTTAATCTTGCTTATCTTTTAATATAATTGATAACAGTTATTTCAAAAATATAATTCATTACAATAAACTTAAACAGTTGTTTTCTCTGATAAATAACAATAAACTTTTAAAGTAATTTTAAACATTACGATTTACAATTAGATTAAGCAGCTACATGCATTTCTAGCATCAATAATAATTACAGCTTTTTTATAGTTTAATATCGAACATGAAATCTACTTTTATAGTTTTTTTTATAAAACATTTACAGTTATTTCATATTGTTATCTCACGCGTGTAGTGAGTAACAATAAAATTTACGGTTATTTTTCAACACTCATGTGATGATTATGAAATGATAGAAGATATGTGTTTCTACCTATTTCTAAATGTTTCGTTTGCATGCTTTCAGAGCGTTTGTTAGATTCTTTATGAGCATTGAATGTATATAAAGAAAACACTTATTATATTTTAGATTACAAAACGTACACAAAGCCATAATATATGGCAGTAAACGTACATAGAATAATGTATTTCCATCAACAACGGGCATATTGTTTTACATGATATCTACCGGGACCTCTTAAAAACAGACACCTAATTTTCTTTTGTTCTTTTTTAATCAAACTATTTCAAGCAACAGACACCCCTGAGATTTAAACTGTCAATGATAATAGGAAAAACAATAAATTCTATAATTGTAAGGTAATAATAATTTATATAAGAACCGAAATAGAAATGACAACCAGACATTTATGTGACGCTTCTTTAAATTTGCTGTTATGTAGAGTAACTTCCTAGAATGTGTTTGTTTTATATTGATGCATATATTATCTAGATACTTCCTGTCGTCTTAAACCGGTGACTTTTTCTGGCACCAACACACTATATGTCATATGACGACTTTTCAGCTTTACTGGTGGACGAAGATGTCGCTTGCCCTTTCGTGCATTATTTCAGGCACGAACGGACACTTGTGTAGAATAACCGACCAGCTTCTACATATAAAAGGAATTTTTAATTGTCACAGATAAAATTCAAAGAAACAATTCAATTGCATTTAAGTTTAAGCATTTCCGTCCGAAAATAAAATTCATTAAATTATGTAAATAAGATTGACCACCTTCTTTCACATGTTCTCAACAATTTTATTTCCTTTGCGTTCCATTAAAGCAAAGTAGAATTATTCTAATCACGTAATACAGTGATAGGTTAATTTAGAAAGTGATAAGATATGTGTTAAGTGCGTGATTCTTACAGAAAAGATTTTAATTCTTAATTTGCAAACCAAATGTTCTGAAATCGTTGATAAAACTTATTTAATTCGTTGATTTCGTTGTTGAAAAAATCTTGGTTTTCCAGGGAATATGATTTGACGCTCTTTATGTTAGAATGTATTAGTTTGCACTATTATCAAATTACTAGTATCAAATTAAAATTTACTTTACCCCAAGTCATTAACAAAATATCAAAGGAGTAGGAAGGCCAGGAAATTGTTCGAATTCAGGCATATATATGATTTTCAGAAGTAAGAGATTTAATGCAATGCTGGCGTTTATTTTCAGAGGATATGAATAAATCTAGGCTACTGATGCACTTTTGTTAATGCTTGAAATTGTCATTAAGTGCAACAGTTAATAACATTTCAAATGATTTTATTATCTTTGCTACTGCATCTTCTTAAAAACGGTTTTAATATGTTATGTGATTATATCAATTAAATGTTACAAAAAGAAATGTGTACTTGTCATTTTTCGTGGTTGAGGTCACTTTCATAAATAAATTGACACATTTACATTGTAGGTTTTTTTCCGATACTTAAAAAAGACAAACAACTTCTAAATTCAAAGGATTTGAAAAGTGCAGAGGATTTTAGATTATGAAAACAAGCAGGAAACACGATAAAGAATAATGTTAAAAGGACCAAAACGAAAGGTCCTTCAATATTGCTAACTTGAACGTTTGCTGTTTTAGGTGTCTGTTAATATTAAATGCAAGGTACTATTCAGTCATTGCTCTTAATCGGTTTTGAAACAACTGAAGATTATTTAACAGGTGTGATCACTAAGCCTTCATTTACATATTTTCGTGTGTTTCATGAACAGTGAAGTATGTTCTCAAGATAAAGGAAAGATAGTGTCTTTCATAAAAAACAACAAAAACAATTGTTCCTTTTCTTTTACGATTGTTTCTTTACTAGTAAAGAAAAAAAAACTCAAAAAATCATTTAAAACATTGACATCTAGATTTTAAAACATTTTTAGTAGCACATTATAGACACAATAAAGTGATACGTCAAACTAGTGACATCTTAAAACACGTTGTTTGAAATGTCAGCAGGGAATCTTCCGCATAATATTCTTTCATCATTGCTCTTTTGAACAATTCTCCAACGACTGAAAAGTTTTGTGGGGGCTTTGCATAATGAATGAAACAGAGTTTCAGCTAATATCCTCTTTAGTGGAAATGTATAATTTGCTCTTCACGTGTGACTAGTGATTAGGTGGAATGTTTATTTGTGAACGACATTTGTTACTTGTCGTATTTTTACAGCAAGGGATTAAGTCAAATGCGTGTATCAAACTTTCTGGAAATTTGAATGCATATATAATCCAAGTTATGCAAATTCAAAAGGGAATGTATAGGTAGATATTGCACTACGACTTCTGAGTATCAAAGAAGTCATAATGATTTCACATTTATACAGTATCTTGGGGTATTGCTTTGATTGTTCCTTGTTTAATGGTAACATTGATGTAGGAATTTTTGTCGTCTGTTGTTTTTATTTGGAAATGCTCAAAAAAGAGATAAAGCTATTATCAAGTAAGAATGCATGTCATTCAATTGTTGTGTTGTTTGTCTGGTTTTCAAAATATTATCACAGATATGCAGACAGCGTTAAATAAATATATCAATATTTAATAATGATATGGTATAACGTATTTTTGCACTTGTCATTTTAATTAAGTATATAATATATACAATTATGGGTCAAAACTTCTGAACTATTCTTATGTGTTTATTAATTAATTCTCGGAGATAGGTTGTCACCGATATTTGATATGACGTTAGACTAGAATAGACTATAGGAAGCAAAATTACCTAGTACAGGAGGAGAATAAATGAAATCT